CACCGCTGGATTCCTCCAGCGCCAGGTTTTAAAACTTGAAGACGTAGCCATTGTCTCTAGCTGATGGAAGTACAGTTAGCTGTTGAGGAGGGGCTGTTCCCAGGGCGTCACCTGCAACCCTGGGGGCCTGCACCCCCAAGCCTTTCCTTGGCAGCCTCTTCCGGCTCTGGTTGCTTTTCCTGCTCTGGTGTTGCTTCCCCAGAATCGCCTGCTTCAGCTGCTGTTCTTTGCATTTCCAGCTTTAGACATTATCTCCTCAAATCTCCCTCCTGAAAGCTGAGCACTTAGAACACTCGCCTGTGGCCTCCCTCCTCTCCTAGGCGCTCGGGCAGTGTAGATTCCTATTCTGTATGCCCTGTCCCTTTGCCAAGTAGCAGCGGGCCCTGGGAGTAGTGTCCTGGTGTGGCCCGCTTCCACCCAGATGTGTGGAACCCGGAGAGCTGAGGTCTTGGGGCTGAGTGAGAACCTGCTTGCCACAAGCCTGCTTCTCTTGTCCATGTGAACCTACATCCTTTTCATTTTAGTGTATTTCAGTAGAGTTTGGTAGGAAAGGAATATAAATGCCTAGGTCAGCTCTGCTGTGTTTAACTGAAGGTGTCTCCTTCTCTCTTGGTCAAGCCCCAGCCTCAAAACCATTTGATGTTGCCCAGGTGGCCCAGTTAGGAATCTGTGCTCTGCATCCCACAAGGCAGAGGCGTGCAAGGCCTAGAACGAGGACTTATCTGAAGGCGTGGTCCACTGTCATCCTGTTCTGAGAAAGAGGGCTTTGGAAATAAGTGCCGCCCGTATGGGAGCTGCTGTACTGAGGGGCTCATCTCTGAGACCTGTGCTGAGCCCTGGGGACCACCCTGCCTCGTGGGCTTCTGACTCGCCCTGAGGCTGGGCTTTGAGGGGCTGGTCTGGGTGTTCAGGGTGCTCTGTGTCCCTGACCCTTGGCCTGGAAAGCAGCTGTGACTGAAGAGGCTTCGGGTGAGGCGCCAGGGGGGCCACACCTGGTAAGGCTGTGAGAAGCGGCTCCTGGGATGTGCTGTGAGCAGGAACTTGTCGGTGGGTGGAATGGTGTGTGCTGGCTGAGAGACGGGACTCTGAGTCGGAGGCCTGGTCTTCCGAGCACAGGCTGGGCCTGCTCACTTCCAGTGCTTATCTGTTCGTTAACGTGACGATGCTTCCTCTTTCTCGAGGTTCTGAGGATTCCGAAGACGATGTGGAAACACTAGTGGTGGTGGCAGATGCTCAGGGGAAGCTGGACGCCACCAGCTCACTTAACTCTGATGACGATGCTGAGAGCTGCCCCATCTGTCTCAATGCGTTCAGAGACCAGGCTGTAGGAACGCCGGAGAACTGCGCCCACTACTTCTGCCTGGACTGCATCATCGAGTGGTCCAAGGTGTGTTTGCTTCTGGTGGGGGCTCCCCCTCCCTTCAGCGGGCCTCTTGCTGTCTGTGGCGGACCCGGCCTGTGGCCGACCTCTCGCCGGATTCTGGCTCTTCCTGTTCTGCCTTTCACACTGGGGCCGCAGGATGGAGTCCTGGCCCGGCCTTGGCTTGGCCCGCACTGTGGGGAGGGCTGTCGGGAGGGCTCGCTGTGAGGCCGGCCCGAGAGGAGGACTGCGGGTCTCGTTGGGGAGCTGGCTGCACAAGTCCTGAGTGACGCCAGGCCGTCTGAGGTGAGCAGCGCCTCGAGACAGGCGCGCCCCAGCGGCCGGGAAGGCTGGTATGCGGGCGCCAGGGCAGGCAGCTGCCTTCGTGCGCGGTCATCCCACAAGCGCAGGGAAGAAGTGGCAGGGGAGCCTGTCCTCGAAACAGCTGGAGGGCTTCGCCGTAGACACGCAGCACAGTCCGACCTCAGGATGGGTCTCAGAAGCAGGCGATCCCCACCCCCCCACCCCCGCTCTCGCACTTTCCGTTGTGAAGATGTTTGGAGGGGAGGTGACTTCCGAGGAGGAGGGGCTTGCCGCTTCCCTCCCACCGGTCCTGCGTCCGCCTCCGCAGGACCTGGCCTCACACAAGAATCACAGTGGTGTGTCTGAGACCCAGGCCTCTTCTGCTCCGTCTGCCCCAGGCTGCTCAGAATGGTCTCTGCACAGTTAGAGCAGGACCTAGACGTCACGCGTGCTGCTGGTGGTGGCAGGCTGTGGCACCACCTGAGGCCTTTCTTGCCTCTGGCGCTTCCTGTTCCTGCTCTTTCATGGTGGGTCCACTGCCCAAAGTAGGTTAAGGTGTAGGTTTTCTTTTGGCAAGTGAAGCCTTCGTTTAAATTGAGGGAGAGCCGGGCACGGTGGCTCACGCCTGTCATCCCAACACTTTGGGAGGTGGAGGCGAGAGGATTACCTGAGCTCAAGGGTTCAAGACCAGCCTGAGCAACCTGGCAAGACCTCGTCTCTCCAATAAATCATAAAGTCAGCCAGACGTGGTGACGCACGCCTGTAGTTTTAGCTACTTGGAAGGCTGAGGCTGCAGGAAGAGGTTGCAGTGGCCGTGAAACAGTTGTGACCAAGGGAAGAAGACCTTTTTCCAGAAGAGAGAGCAGTTGCAGGGCCATCAGTCCCAGTGGGTGTGTTCAGGACCCTTGAGGGGCTGTGGAATTAATCCAGAAGAGTGAGGAGCACCGAGACCTAATTGCCAAGATCGTCTTGAGGAAGAGAAAAATTGCCACTGGCTGTTAGGACTTCCAAAACTGAAGTGATTCGCCAGCATTGGTCGTGGAGTGGAAACCAGAACGGGATGTGCTGGAGACCTGAGGAGACTTGGACACACTCAGGAGGAGACAAGTGGCATCTGGTGTTGGGGAAGTGGGGCTCCGCTGTAACTGGCGTGTAGGGGACAGATAAAGTTGACTGGCTTGTGCTGCGCACAGTGCCAGATGGACTCAAAGTCCAGAGTTAGAAAGCACAACTCTGAAACTTTCAGAATCTGGCAGAGACAACCGTGTTGTGAGGCCAGGGAAGGGTTTCCGCAACAGTCAAAGAGAAGACGTACAGGTGGATGGTGCGTTGCGAGTGCTTGACTCAGGGCCTCGGGGAGTCCTGGGTCAGCCCACAGGAGGCCACTGCCTGTCCCTCGAGTGTGTGAGGAGGACAGGAGCCCTCAGACTCCAGGAGGCAGAGGTGTCCTGTGGACTGCCACAAAGACGTGCATCTGCCCAGGGGCGGATGCGGCATGCTCAGCAGGTGGGTGGACACACATGGGCCACTCAAGTGCCACTGACTGGGTGGAGCGCAGGGACTGGGATTCGTGCTGTGACTTCATTTCCAAGAACGTCCTGGGAAGATGCCTACACCACACAACTGCAGTGACAGGACATAGCCACAGTGGGGAGGGAAGGCCCAGGTGACTTGGACTGGCGGCTGCATGGATTTGAATTTGTCGGAGCTCGTTGAAATATTTCATTAAGATACGGAGTCGATAAAGTCAGTTTAAAACAACTTTATGTGCGTCTAAACCCATTAATAAAGACAGGAAGAAAATATATGCAACACGTATCTAATTAGTGTCTGCACTAGTAAAAGAAAATCTAAAAATTTGTGAGGAAATTAGCAGTGGTCTGGAAAAATTGGCAGAGGATTTGAGCAGAGTTTCCCAGCAGAGGGGCCCAGGAGGGCAGTACACACAAGGTGACCGAGGTGCAACCTGTCCCCACGCCTCCCCTCCCTCCTGTGTTGTTTCTTGTGACTTGTCACTGAGCTGCCGTGCAGTGACCCTTCTCCCCAGCCGGAGTGGCAGCTCCCCAGCCAGGGTCTCCTGTCCTCACTGCGGTGTCCCCGCCAGCACCTTAGCACGGGGCTTTATTTTGAGTGCAGTGTTAACAGTGGAAATGATTCTACAGGGTTCTGATACAGTTTTTATTTCTTGCAGAATGCCAATTCCTGTCCTGTCGACCGAACTATATTTAAGTGTATTTGTATTCGAGCTCAGTTTGGTGGCAAAATCTTAAAGAAGGTGAGTCTGGAGGCCGCAGAAGAGAGTCCAGCTACACTGTCCTCTCCCTGGGGGAAAGAGCATGTTTCCTAAAGTTGGGTTGCTGTCCTGAAATGAGTGGACGTTGGTTAAATGCGTCTTAGAAATCAGCTAGAATGCCCTTTGTGGCCATGGACGTGAAGCCTAGAGCTGGTGCTGCTGCCCTGTCGGGGCTGTAGGTTCGGGTGGGAGGCAGCTGGCAGGGATCCTGGCAGCCTGGGGCATCTGTTGGCCCTGCCCCACGTACCTCCACATCTGGCCGTCTCTCTGGCCCACTTGCTCCAAGCTTTTCTCTTGAGCTGCAGTACCACAGAGAAGAGGGAAAGTCAGGGAGGGAGAGGAGGCCCATTCCTTTGGGGCCAGATTCCAGAAAGTACTTGGCAAAATTACTCCCTATTAGGGTTGGAAATGAAAGGTGTTTTCTGTGCTGTGTGTGCTCGCTTCTGCTTATCTGCTTTTTCAGGAATTGGAAAGCCTCCACACCGTTGTTGATAAATATCATTAGAAAGACCCACAGTGATATGCCTGAGATCTTCTAAGTACTAGAAAAGGCCTTTTGTTTTGTTTTGTTTTTTGAGTAGGAGTCTCACTCTGTCGCCCAGGCTGGAGTGCAGTGGCATGCTCACGGACACTGCAGTCTTGGCTCACTGGGCTCAGACTATCCTTCCGCCTCCACGGTACACGTCACCACTCCCAGCTTTTTTTTTTTTTTGAGTTGGAGTCCCACTCTGTCGCCCAGACTGGAGTGCAGTGGCTCGCTCCTGGCCACCACGGCCTCGACCTGCTGGGCTCCAGCGATGCTTCCGCTTCAGCCTTCCAGGTAGCTGGAACTACAGGCGTGCGCTACCACACCCAGCTAATTTTTTGATTTAATGTAAAGATGAGGTCTGACCAAGTTGCCCAGGTAGGTCTTGAACCTGCAGGCTTAGGCAGTCCACTCACCTCAGCCTCCCAAAGCGCGGGATTACAGGCTGAGCCACTGAGCCTGGCTTAATTTTTTAATTTATTGTAGAGAAGAGGTCTCACCAAGTTGCCCAGGCTGCCCTTGAACTCCTGAGCTCAAGGCAATCCTCTTGCCTTTGCCTCCCAGAGTTCTGGGAATACAGGTGTGAACCAGTCGCCTGACCTTTTTGTTTTTTCCGTTGCTATGTACCTACTTTGTTTTTTTTGTGAGTTGGAGTCTCACTCTGTTGCCCAGACTGGAGTGCAGTGGCCGTTCCCGGCCACTGCACCCTCGACCTGCTGGGC